AAGCACGAGGGGAATGTGGCAGCGTGCCGATACAGCTAACTGTCCGATACTCGATAGAGTCCTGCTGACCGCACCACGGCCACCCCGGGCGTGTCCACGCCAAGTCCACGCGCGGTGCGCCCCCTCCCCCCCCCCCCTCCTTCTGCCACGAGCACCCCTTTTTGGAAGAAAACACCCACCTTCCTTGGAGTATGCCAAATTCTTCCTCTTGGGACTTAATAAGGGGACACTTAAAATGAAAACTGGTGAAAACATCTCGGACGCGGGTATAGTTTTTAATAAGGTCAGCAACGTCTGATTTTCCCATAGCCTCCCCTGTTAACTGCCCAGCATAGTTTTTCATCTCGACCAACTAACTAGGGTGGCGGTGGGGATGATCCGATAGTGGTGTGTCCGACAGTCAGACGATATTGTGCACCGAGATATAACTATCCAACGTTTTGTTTATAGCTTTTCGATTCACTTTCAAACGCATATAATAAGCAAGAGTCTTGCTCACATGGGTGAGATAATGAATTGGCAAGCAGGCGTGCCACATATATGGTTTGCTGTTTTAATTCGACCCCCAGTTCGGCTTCATGAAGCTTCACCAAACACGTTACAGCGGTCTAGTGCCTTTAAAAAGGTGTACGACGTTCTACTTTTGTTCTATCAGTGACTAACCTGCACGGTTTTGTTTTTCTCTCTTCCACCCGCCGATATCGTCGTTGTCGCCTGCGAGTAGTGCGAGAGTGTCTTGAGGCTTGTCTGTCTCGAGCGAGCGAGGGGTGTGCGTGCGTGCGTGTGCGTGTGCGTGTGCGTGTGCGTGTGCGTGTGCGTGTGTGCGTGTGTGTGTGTCTGTGTCTGTGTCTGTGTGTCAGGAAGAGTCGTCTCCTCAGGGCCACGAGACGCAAACGGCGTACCTGACAGGAGCCCGACCCAGCACCACCGCGTTGAGCCCCGAGTTTCGGGTTTCAAGATGCACTACTTTGACGGGACGCACAAGGGAGGATACACGGAGAGGCAGCCGGCGGCGGCACCGTGTAGCGTGTGTGTATGGTGTATCAGGTGGACCTTGCTAGTGGCGGCGCACGTGGCGAGG